AAATTTTAAAATTCAAACAATTAAAATGAAAAATTAGCAGCAAAAATTAAAAATTAAAAATTTCAATTTATTGAGTATAAAATTTTAAAACAAATGCCTAAAACTCTAAATTTAATTAATTTATAGAAAATTTTAATTTTATCTAAGGTTTATAAATTTTTAAAAACAAAAGCAAAAACTTAAAGTTAGAATCATACTAAATAAAATTTTAATTAACATAAAGTTAATACAACGAAACAATTAAAAAGGATTTGAAAAAGTAAACACATAATTGTAAATTTATAAATCTGTGTTTACCATAAAATTTAGTCACAGTCAATCTGAAATATATAATTGTTTCAAATTTTTGGTGATTAGTGAAATTTTTTAAACAGGAAATAGACAAAATGCGCCAACCTTGCCTTCCATTTGCTTTCTCAATTGGCATCTAATGAAAAGGCATTTGGTCACCGGCACCCACTATCTTATTAAGAAAATGAAGAGTGGTTCATAGAAAGTGCCAACTTTGCCATCCATTTGCTTTCTCAATTGGAATCTAATGAAAAGGCATTTGGTCACCGGCACCCACTATCTTATAAAGAGTGGATAAGAGTAAAGAATGGTTGAAGTATGTTTCCTTGTAAGTGTGAGGAAACTAAAGATCCCACATTGATATAAAAGGAAATAGTGGCTTATATATGTGAAGATTTATGAAACTAATAGGTTAGTCTTTTGATTCTAATGTGATATTGAAATATGTAATGAACCACTTAATGTTGTTTTGCTAAGTCGTATGTCTCCTCAACAAATGGTATCAGAGCCAATGGGCACACTCAATGATTATTTCAGTCTTGGGCCGGGCTTAGCAAAAAGTGAGAGTGTATGTTATGTAAACCCATGAAGAGTATACCTATGGATCATGTCATGTATGTATGTAAAAAAAAAAAAAAAGGTTAAACTCTCATGGGCCTTCACAACTCACAAGGAAAATGGGGAGTGTTGAAGTATGATTATTTCAGTCTTGGGCCGGGCTTAGCAAAAAGTGAGAGTGTATGTTATGTAAACCCATGAAGAGTATACCTATGGATCATGTCATATATGTATGTCAAAAAAAAAAATAGGTTAAACTCTCATGGGCCTTCACAACTCACAAGGAAAATGGGGAGTGTTGAAGTCTGTTTCCTTGTGAGTGTGAGAAAACCAAAAATCCCATATCGAAAAAATATAGAAGGAAATAGTGGTTTATATATGTGAACCATAGAACTAATAGGTTAGTTTTTTGGTTCTAATGTGATGTCGAAACATGTAATGGACCACTTAATATTGTGCTGTTAAGTCGTATGTCTCCCCAACAAGAATAAAGAAGAATAAAGAAGGAAATAGAGAATATGGGCTCAAAAAAATGAGGAAAGAAATGGAGGGTTGTTGAACACAGTACCAAATTTGCCCTCTGATTGCTCTCCCAATTGGCATCCAATGATAAACAATGCCATTCCAACGAGAGAAACAAAATATACCCAACTGGAATTAACATTCACGATGTGCCTTTGTTGCGTGGATTGGAAATTCCAACAGTGAGACTGCCAAAGGTTTTAATAATACCATACCATGTAAATGGCAAAAGCTGCTTGAATCAAATAACAAATCCAGTATACAATTTGATTACATT